AATAGATCATCGATCCTGGGCAGAGGATATTTATTTTTAACAGTGAGGTTGTTTAGTTTTCTATAATCAATACAGAGTCTCAATGTCCCATCTTTTTTCTTGACAAAGAGAACTGGAGCTCCCCACGGTGATACACTAGGTCGAATAAATCCCCTGTCCAACAACTCCTGAAGTTGAACTTTTAGTTCCTTAAGCTCCTTTGGGGCCATACGATAAGGAGCCATTGAAACCAGGGTGGAACCAGAATAGACATCAATCACAAACTCGACATCTCTATCTGGAGGTAATCCAGGCAACTCCTGGGGAAAAACATCGGGAAATTCCTTGACAATTCGAATGCCTTCAATATCGGATTAAGATCTCCTAGTGTCCAAAATATAAGCAAGAAACGCCTCGGAACCCTTCCTGATCATCTTCTCCGCTACCAAGGCAGACACAACATTCGTCAGAAATCCACATCGTTCCCCGATCATTACAATCTTTCGATTATCTGGGGTCTTCAGAACAGCTCTCTTAGTCTCAAAATCAATATTTACTCGATGTTTGTCCAACCAATCTACGCCAAGAATCAAATCGAACTCTTCAAAGGGTAACTCCATCAAGTCAGCCAGAAAAATCTCCCCATTGATCTCTATAGGGCACTCTCTAAAAATACGATCCAACACGATGGATTTGCCTAAGGGACTTTGAACTATCACCGAATGCTCAGTATTCTCAACGGGAATATTTAGACCCTCAGAAACGGAATGTGATACATAGGAATTTGTAGAGCCACTATCAAATAATGCAAAGTATGGAACTGAATGAATAGTAATAGTACTTGCAGTCACATTAGGCCCATCACGATCTTGTCGAAGTCTAGCAGTGTAAACCAATGCAGGTTGTCTAGCCTCAGATCTGACTGGACCCCTACTCTGAGATACTCGGCCTCTACTAGATAATCCAGGTGCTCTCTCCTGAGTACGTCCCCGTGCTGGAGTCTGAACTGTACTATGAGAACTAGCGGGAGTACGAGCTGGTGTCTGAACAGAATGAGGTATCTCTGGACAATCCTTCAAATAATGGTCACCAGACCCACATTTATAACAAGTGCCCAATTTCTTCCTGCATTCTCCAAAGTGATTTTTCCCACAATAATCACATGTTGGAAAGGGTTGCGACCCAAAAGAACCACCATGTCTAGAAGACTGAACTGTTGAAGCACCAGATGCAACAGGTCTGACACTTGCACCTTCTCTCTGAAAAGAATCACCCATGCCTCTCTTGCTAGGATGTGCAGAAGAATTAACAGAACCAGAAGGCCTCCTGAATCGATTCTGGGCTCAATCACTATCTCTCTTGTGCTCTATACCCAATCGCTCTATTTCCTCAGCAGTCTTGGCTATCTCAACCACGGCGTCAAAATTTCTCTCTCGGTGGGTAGCGACTCGACTCCTGATCTCATACTTGAGTCCATTCTCGAACCTCAAGCATCTATCTGTCTCAGTGTCCACAAGTCCAGGAGCATATCGGCTCAATCGGATGAATTCAACCTCATAATCCATAACATACATATTACCCTGCTCCAGATTCTGAAACTCCTGGCGTCGCTCCTGCAGATATCTCTCTCCGATGTAGTGACTTCGGAAGCGCATCTTGAAAAGATCCCATGTTAATTGGTTCCTCGGAATACTACCAGAAATGGATTGCCACCATCTGAAGCTTTCTTTCTTCAATATAGTTAGGGCCCCCTTTAACTTTTGCCCAGGTTTGAGGTCCATCTCATCCATAATCCTCTATGTGTCCTCCAGCCAATACTCAGCGTCTGTCGGAGGTCCACCAGTAATACCCTCGAATGGTACTACACCAGCAGTAACCAGAGAATTTGAAATCTCCACTGCAGTCATGTTACTAGGGGCTCTAGCAGCTCTCTGAAACATGCGGAAGATAGCTCTATTAATGGCGTCTTCATTCATCTCAGAATCCTCATCTTCAGTGACGGGAGGGTCTCTCATAGGAGTAAACTGATCATCATGAGAAAGAGTCGGATCTACTTGCGGAACAGGAGGATCACGTGATGACATCGGATCGTCTATCGTAACAGAAGGTCGAGTGAGTCGCCCTCTACCACGTCCACGTCCTGTCCTACGACCTCTAGCAATATTCATCGTTGGATCTATAAGGCTCTACAGAAGAATTTGAAACATATGTCAGATTAGCATCAGGGATCTCGAGAAAACTTTAAATCATAACATAAGGTGGCATTTTTTTTATTTCTTAAAAATTCAAAGTTTAGGACCCATATACAGTCCGAGTGTTTAAAACCGAAAGCTCTGATACCACCAAATGTAACCCCCTAGACCCGGTCTGTGAGTTAGACCCAAACCTAAGTGGTCACATATCCCATTCAGAGGTTTTTTTTATATAACTTATAGAACGTTAAATATAATATAGAACATAATATTAATAATACAGATATGTCCAAAACGATAATAAAATACATGTCACCAAACATAACCGAAAAACATATAGAAATATATGTTCGTACAAAATAAAGTAGTTGATTTCTCCTGATGCTAAATATGCTAGCTTACGGTCTGCTGTTATCTGAAAAAGGTTAAAATTTACATAATGAGCTAAAAAGCCCAGTGTGTTCGATACAGCGTACAAAAACATATTAATAAGATATTATCAATAAAAATCGATTTATGCAACATGTTTTTTTTTAAATATGAACACTACCCCCATCCGTCACGAACAAATTGTGTAGGTTCCCATAACCATACACCCCGTCACGACCAGTAAGGCCCTGAGCACAAAGCCGAGGAGCCTGTAATATTTTCTTCCTCCAACAATTCTTTCCCCCCAATGACAGTAATAAACAAATATGTATTCGAGTAAAAATGGTGATTAATCCATTAAAACATGAAAATGGATCATGCTTGAAAATCATATACAGAAATACGGTAATCAGATGTCGGTAACCATTATTCAGAAATCAGATATCATGTATCATGTCATAACAATATTTTGAATAATCACCATTCTGAAATAATTCAAATAATATTTTAAAACAGTAAAACAACACTGTTAGGAAACACACCTGTCACACTCTGAGAAATCGGATAGGGAATCCTACTATTGGGTTTGTCGATCACATTCTGCTACAGCGCTAGATCCAACGAATTAGAAAAATCCATATTGGAATCCTAATATAAATAATCTAAATATTATTTAAATAATATACGGAAACCTACGGGTAATTCTCGTAGTACGCGGTTCAGGCTGATCTAACGAACGGATAACACCGGACCTAATTGATCCTTGCTCAGGTGAAACACGAGTACCTTCATAAAATATTTTTATTGAATAAATCCTTGACCAAATCTCATTTAAATAATCAAAATATTAAAATATTAAGCCTTTTGGGTTTACAAGCTCGATTCGGGAATTTCGGGTCAGAATTTGGCAAAACGGACTTCGGAATCAAATTCAGGACGTCGAAAAACATAAAGTATGATCTTCCGAAATTTTGAATTCTTGGTCAAAATTAAAGTCAACGGATTTGACTGATGATTTGGAGACTTTCGGGTTTGAATTAAGCGAAACGGACCCCAAAAACAGATTCGGAACGTCGAAAACTATCAGGATATGTATTCTTGGTCGAAAACAAAGGTCGTTTAATAGCTGGTCAAAGCTGGTCAAAGTTCTGGTCAAATGAGGTCAACAAACTGTCAAACATTTTACACAAATAGCACCTTTTAAAAAATTACCAAAATAGCATCCATTTCGAATTAATTCCCAGAATAGCACCAAAACTGAATTAATTCCCAGAATAACACCGGTCAACGGTCAACGGGTCGGGTCGGGTAAACGGGTCAGGTAAACGGGTAAACGAGTCGTGACCGGTCAAACCGGTTCAAAACTGGTTAAACCGGTCAAAACCGGTTTCCAGCGTTCACTCGCCTACGGCGGCGCGTGTGGCGTGTGCGACGTCCTCCGGGGCTCTAAAAATCACGGAAAAATTTCTAAAAATTATTTTGAGCGATTTCGAGATACTTACAAAGATCGGTTCAAATTTTTGAACGGCGGAGAGCTCGATTTCGACTTGGCCGAATCTTTGACTAATCCATCTCCCCACGCGCCGCCGTCAACGGAGATCGAGGATGACACCGGCGGACTCGGAACGGCACAAGGAACACGATGGTGCGGGAGGTGTCGTAAACGGAGCAACGATCGGCGATGAATTTAGGATTTTCTAGGCGATTGAGCTTAAAAAAAACGTCGATACTTTGACTTGAAATTCACGACGTTTGTCAGCGTTTCGCTTCAATTAAATTGAGGGGATTGTTCCTGACTCAATAACGAACACGATGGTACTTTCAAAACGACGATCGAAATTCGGACGGTGTCGGAATCGTCGTCGGAAGTTGAGGTAAGGAAATGGAAGTTTGGGAGGAATTGGGTTCTGATTTTCACAACCCAATTCACGCATATATCATATATATAAACCAAATACTTAATTTTTTTGGGGTAAATTCAAAGCTTGGTCCCTAAATTTTCTTTAACTCTAAAACAAGCTACAAGTTTTAAAAACTTCCAATTTAGTCCCCAAAAATCCACCAATTTTCACAATTAAAACCTCAATTCCCAATTAAATATTATTTTGAAATTTTCGGGTTGTTACATGTACCACTTCTTTCTAGTGTCTATGCATTCGGTACATAAAGAAGAAAATTTGATTATTTCATGAGTTTTACAATAATTCGTCATAACATAAAGAAGAATTACCACAAAATCTAAACTTGAAATTATAAGGATGAGTCAAAAATAATACCTATTCAAAATAAGCAAATATTTCATGAGGAATAAATAACACCACTAGCAAACATAAGTCTACATCAAAATCTGCTAGTTAAATAACAAAAGACAATACAAAGGTTAAACTAAACCAGATTCATGGGGGTTCCCCAATAATTAAAAATTTACAAGTATCTTTGTTCTAATCCTATTAAAGTACTGCATTTAGATATATTTAGGATTGAATAAATACGAAACTAGAATTCCAGAAGACCGGAGAGATTCAAAATGATGACCGAGACGTACGAACATCTTTGAAGTGCCAATCCAATGAGACAAAACTGTGGTTTGCACAAACCCAAACTCGGGCATGTGTCAATTGAATTCTAACCAATATAACTAACAGTGTTTTCTCCTTTAAGAAATAATGATGACTATGATTTCTCACCTTAAAGATGTTGTGAATGGAGCTCGAACTGAATGTCTTCGTGAAACCGAGTGATCTGGTGTAAGCACTGCCAACATGGGAATTTTTTATAAGAATCGAGGCATTACAGAACAAAAGAAAAGCCAAAAACATCACATGAAAAAGAATATAACTAAACTTTAAGACACATTAATGTTCCATGCCATACAGCATCAAAAAAATCATTTTACCAATTTTATTCTAGATGGAAATAAATTGATACAGAAACACATTAGATAAGAACAGTTGCACGGAACATACAGTATAAGAGTCCAATAGATGTGCATTCGACTACCCAATACCGAAATGCATCAGAATTCAAATTAACCATATCTTACCCAAGTTGGCACAAAAAAATGGTTAATACGAGGAAAAAGTGGAGCTATAGCAACCAAACATGTACCCAATTCCCAAAAAAAAAAGATGTAAAAAAAATCAGGAATACTACTTCAGAATTTAGCAGGCAGTATCGGTTGTAGTAAGTGGTTGCAATAGAAAAAATCATCAAACCAGAGTCAAAGAAGCCCAAAAGTGAAGGGTTAGAAATGGCATTTTAGAAACAATTAATCACCAGAGAATTTCGATTTTCACAATGCCCCAACCAATTGCTTTTAGGCTGACGGGGTTCCTTCATTATTCGTACCCCACTCTTCTTCAGGTTCATTTCCATTTACGAGCACTGCACCGTCGTTAGAATCAGCATCCCCCACAACAGCCTCCTCTTGGCTACCCTCTTCTCCATTCTGCTCCTCTAGGTTCTAATCATGTCAAAGTAGTTTCTAAGTCAACATGTTGCCTAAATATAAGAAAAACAGATGCATATGGATGATATACCTCGTGATCAAGGTCACCATTTTCAAGAGGTTCCTCTACTGGCATGTTTCTGAAAGCCTCCACAAGCGTCAAATGTGATCTATCAGCATGTTTCAAATAGTCTGCTGCAGGAGGATAGACACCCCTAAAAATTTTTGAAAGATAATAGCATATCCATGAGTAGAATGTAGTCGTGAAAGTCTTTAAGCCATATAAGCCTTTAAGACTTTTGTAACTAGTATTTTACCTGTAGACTGTGACTTATCTAAAAAAAAGGTAGATTAGGTTTCTGTCAAAGTAGGTTAACACCTAATAGGAATCTAAGATTGTAAATTACAGCAGGATTCTATAGTTGTAATTAGCCTGTTTTAATATGCCAAACTTCTTCCATTCGAATGAGAAAAACCAGAGAACAAATTTCTCTGTTCCAGAAAATACTCTCTTCTATGGCTTAGTTATCTACACCATGTGAGACAAAAAAGTAAGATGTGCCAACAATAACACTTAAAAAAACTAGTACAAAAAACCATAGTCCATAGAGCAACCAAAACAGACCAAATAACCGGAATTTGAAAGTGATTTGTTCAAAGAGTTCACAGAAAAGTCGTAACACTAGATAACAGAGAAATCTTGTTTAACAAAATCCTGTAGCAAAATGGTAACTGATAATACATAACTAGATAATGCAAGGAATCAGGTTTGGTACCTTGTTTCTTCTGCTTGAGATTCAAGAGTTAGAGCAAAAAACGTTGGACATTTATTTTTAACGAAAAGTTCTTTAGACACATGAAATTAACTTGAGTATAATTTCTACAATTATCTTTACATAAGTCGCCTTTTGTTGACTGGGTAGAAGCGTCCCACGATTAATGGTCTTTTGTGATTTTTGTTAGGGGTCAACTTATAAAAATTTATGGATAAAAATATATTATTAATATAAAAGTAAAAAAATGTATTAAGAACAATATATTTCGGTTCATTGAAAAGAAAGAAGGAAAAAATCGTCCTCAACAAGGCTCAATCACGGTTGATGTAATAAACATTGAGATTTGGGAAATCGTCAACTGTAACACGTTCCTCGTTCAGCAGTAATCTTTACACCAAAACGTCAGTTTAGTTTTTCGAAAGCCTGTTTACCATTAAAAATAACATATCCTTCAATAGTAGCTTGAGTCAACCTCCCTGAAGGCAATCACCTCCGTTGACTCAACCTCCATGAAGGCTGTGGCCTTATAATAGACAAGTGGGACCAGACACTCCAAATCAGTTGATTTTCCCCCCATCGATTTAATAAAAATTAAAACATTGATTCATCCACCCTCTTGATAATTATCGAACCAACAATTAGGTATAAAAAGATTAAAATTTAAATAATAATTTTTTTCCGAATAATAAAATCTGGATGGTTATTACAAGCAAAAAACTTATAAAATTCAAGAATCAAACAACTTTAATGTTGTTTGATAATAATTCAATTATAAACATGAAATATTAATTTTAGTTTATTGATATACTTTTACAAATAAATACGCTCATAAATTTCATATTATATATATATAATTTATGCATGAAACGGTGTTAGTAATTTGTACTCAAAATCAAAGTTAATATACTACATCACACAATAGATCAAATTTCGTGTAAATTTTAAATTTATGCCTCGCAATGTAAAAAAAGATAAATTCTAATGCAGTTACAATCGGTCCCTATAATTTTATAAAGGAACGCTAATTAATCAACTAAAAACCCATAAGCATAATCAATATCATGATGAAAAAAAAATTTCTACAGAAATGCGAAACGATATTCTAGTGAATATCTAGAATTGTTCACAGTTACATGACAAAAAATCACATTATATTTGGAAAATCTGAAACATTTTCATTTCTATCATTTATCAAAACCATGAATTGATGGACTATTTTGTAAATTGATTTTTATCGTGTACCTGTCAGACTCAGTTGGAGGCAAAGATTAATATGAATCATCAACGGCCCTTCCATTCACTCCAGTAGTAATCACCCACACTCAAGAAGACATGTTCACCCAGCACCACTGCCATTGCAGGCAGGTTCTCGATGCAATCGACCTTTATCTGCGCAACACAAGGAAGAGACGATCAATTGAGGCTGCCCAGCCATACCAGAATTGAATGGAATCGAATCTATATTACGATTGACAAGCAAACCAAACCTTGCAATGTCCGAGTTGCAACTCTGACTTCAAACAAGAATGGTCCCTTGACACAAGGTATATCTGCAGCAAATTTAGAATTTCCTGCACCCATCAATAATTCAATAAAAGAGAACTAGGCATCAGTCACAAAGGGCTTGAAAAGAAATTCTAAAGCTACAGCTTTTTTAAAATGAGCCTGTCCTTGATCAAACCTTTTTGAATTTTGGAGTATCAATGTAACTCTCTTATATTATATTATATTATAAAAATCATTTTTATGAATAATGTCATATTAATATACTTCTCTAGAATTTAATAAATAAAAAAGCATTCCTACTGATTAAATAGTAATCCAAGCAACACGGACTCAAAACATTATGCCGAATTGGCTTGGAACGGGCCTAACAGGTTCGGCAAGTAGTGTGAGCATTGGACTAGTAATGTGATACTATTGTCAAAAGAAATCAAAATATGACCTAATGGTAGACATATAGTTGAAAAGAAATCAAATTTGTAATACAGACAAATAATCTGATACTATTATTGTCAAAATAGTAGGTATGAGTTGCAATGGAAGACACGATAAATGACAAAACACAGCCTAACCTGCATATAATGCGAGAATAGCATTTTCCTTGAAAACAAGGGCTGGTCTAACCAAGCTTATTTTAAATGAGATGTTATAGATGCCTTGGAAAATCTCTTCACAAATCACCACCTGCAATTTTGGTTATGTAAGAAAAATAGAATAAGAAACACATACAAGGAATTTTTGTTTTTGGAGGGGAGGAGGGAGAAGCAATGGTGACAACAAATTAATGTCGTTCTCGAAATACATTGTGAGGTGTATTAACTACTGCAGATTTGATCTCAGTTGAAACAACATATAATCCATTCCTGCCTATAGAACTGCAAATGCGTAACCCTACAAAACAGAGACATACTGACAACGCAAGACTAAACGCATCTTATCAATGAGAAAAGGCAAACTCCACTTTCAGCTTTGTACTACACAAGTATGACTGATCTTATTTTATAAGATATGGTTTTTGAAATGAAGGCAAGATTAAGAAATTTCATACTCTAAGAATATGAAAACGACAAGTAACCGCATTAGTTAACACTTAGGAACAGAGACATTGCATGTCCATCTCCTAAATCAACAAAATTTTAAGATGCAAGTTCATAATAAAGGTAATTCATACTCAGAATGATCAAAACTTAACTGCATGGATAGGCATACTGTCGGAAGAAAGCAATGGAGATCCAATTGCATCCCTAATGTAGTTTTCCTGCAATAAAATGCAACCTTGAGATATTATATACAGCACACTGTAAATTAAGACTTACGAGAAGTTGGGCATCTCAATGACTATCAAACAATGCAACTCCACTGCTAAGTTGGAGGGACTTGCACTGTCCATCAGACAACCAAAACCTTTCACAAAGATACAATAATAGCTCGCAGAAACTGTCACTCATGCACAAGTACACGGATGCACAAAGCTCCATTCGAAGAAAAAATCCGGTAATAGATTTAGCTAATCATTGATTAGCAAGTATGGGTGCTTACAAGTGGTAGTATCTATTCTAAAGGCTCTCAATCAATTGACAATGAACGCTCAAATACTCTGACAGTCGTTGGTGCTCAAACCTGGGACCGCTAGGAATAACAACCATTCATTTAACTGTTAGGTATGGCTCATAAATATACCAGTAAAGAGGACAGGAGATGGAGTGGAGTGAGCGAAGCGAACATCAACTGTCCTTACAAAGAAAGTCTCGTTGTGGGGTTACAAATTATGTGGGTTGGGGGTGCGGGGGCGTAGCCCCCGCGGTACGGTACAGGGTTGATTTTGTAATTATGTACCAGGGTTTTCTATTATAAATAGAGATGTAACCTAGACCTAAAATATCATTGAATAAAATTCTAGCGCCGCCTAGGCACCGAGGACGTAAGCACATTGCCGAACCTCGTAAAATTCTCGTGTTCTTTCGTTTTCTTTACCCGTTTTCGTCAACAATTGGTATCAGATGTCAGGAGCAAAATTCGAAGTCGCGAAATTCGATGGTCAGGGTAACTTCGGATTATGGCAAACGAGGGTGAAGGATCTATTGGCGCAGCAAGGGATCTTGAAGGCTTTGCGACCTACAAAGCCGGCGTCGATGGATGAGGAAGATTGGGAAGAATTGCAGCAGCGAGCGGCAGGAACCATACGATTATGCTTGGCGGACGAGGTCATGTATCATGTCATGCATCTATCGTCTCCAGACGAAATTTGGAGGAAGTTGGAAAGTCAGTTTATGTCCAAATCCTTAACGACAAAACTGTATCTGAAGCAACGGCTGTATGGGCTGAAGATGCAGGACGATCACGATTTGGCGCAACACGTGAATGTCTTCAATCAAATCGTTTCTGATCTGGCTCGGCTTGATGTGAAAATTGAGGATGAAGACAGAGCGATGATTCTGTTGTGTTCGTTGCCTTCCTCTTACGAACACATGGTGACTACTCTTACATATGGGAAAGAGACTATCAACGTTGAGGAGATTACTGCAGCCTTGTTGGCTCACAACCAGCGGAAGCAGAATGCAGGGGAAAGCTCTCAAGTCGATAGCTTATATGTCAAGGGTAATCGAGATCGTGGACGGAAGCCAGAGAAGGTAGGGTCCGGGAAGCGGAATTCCAGATCCAAATCCAGGGATAAGAAGACGATTCACTGTTACAAGTGCAAGGAGGCGGGACATATGAAGCGAGACTGTCCGAAGTTGAAAAAGCAGACTGATGAGAAGCGTGATGGCTCATCCAAGTCTGTGAACGTGGTCGAGGATGATACTTCTGATTGCAGTGAGGGTGATATGCTTTCTATTTCAACGACACAATTGACGGATGCTTGGATTCTTGATTCTGGATGTTCTTATCACATCACGCCAAATAGGGAATGGTTTTCGACATACAGGCCGGTTAATTCTGGTTCGGTTTATTTGGGTGATGATCGATGTTGCAATATTGTTGGTATTGGTGATGTCAGAATAAAGATGCACGATGGCTCCGTTCGGACGTTGAGTGGTGTTCGACATATCCCAGACTTGAAGAAGAATTTGATTTCCTTGGGCACTTTGCACAAGAATGGTTTTATCCCTAAGGCTGACGAGGATAGGGAAACCATTCGGATTGTTAAAGGAGCATTGACTGTGATGAAAGGCAAGATGACTGCAGGGAATATCTACAGATTGTTAGGGAGTACCGTTGCAGGTGGAGTTCACTCTGTTGAGTCCTGTGATGATACGACAAAATTGTGGCATATGCGCCTTGCTCATCTTAGTGAACGTGGTATGGCAGAATTACATAAGAGAAACTTGTTGCATGGTGTCAAAAGCTGTAAGCTCGATTTTTGCAAGTATTGTGTTCTTGGTAAACAGACTAAAGTCCGTTTCAAGACTGCGAAGCACACAACTCAAGGGATTCTTGATTATGTGCATTCTGATGTATGGGGGCCTTCCACGACATCGTCTTTGGGTGGATCTAGGTACTATGTTACTTTTATTGATGATTTTTCACGGAAAGTTTGGGTGTATTTTTTGAAACAGAAATCTGAAGTTTTTGAGAAGTTCAAGCTGTGGAAAGCTGAGGTAGAAAACCAAACAGGACGAAAAATCAAGTGTTTGCGGTCTGACAATGGTACGGAGTACACAGATTCACAGTTCCTACAATTCTGTAAGGAGCATGGGATTCAGAGGCATTTTACAGTGCGCAAGACACCACAACAGAATGGTGTTGCGGAACGAATGAACAGGTCGTTGAATGAAAGAGCCAGATGTTTGCGGTTGAATGCGGGGCTTCCCAAACACTTCTGGGCTGAGGCTGTTAACATGGCGTGTTACCTTATCAACAGATCGCCAAGGGCATCGCTGGCTGGGAAAGTTGCAGAAGAGGTATGGACTGGTCATGATGTTAGTTTTGATAACTTACGGATTTTTGGTTGTCCTGCTTATGTGCATGTACCTACTGATGAGAGATCCAAACTTGATGCAAAATCGAAGGAGTGCATTTTTCTGGGTTACAAGAAAGGTGTCAAAGGATTCAAGTTCTGGGATCCAGTTGCGAAGAAAGTTGTGATTAGTAGAGATGTCGTTTTTGATGAACAATCCATGTTGCAGCAGAAGCAAGACACGACAGTGGTGGATTTCGAGCAGTTTCCAGTTGAGAAACCAGAAACTTCTCAACCGACTTCTAGTGGTTCCACTACGGATGATTTGCAGGATTATAGTCTCGCCAGAGACAGGGTGATATGGACGAATATAAAGCCTCCGAACAGATTGGGTTTTGAAGACTTGGTATCTTTTGCACTTACTGTTAGCAGTGATGATCCATTTACTTTTTATGATGCCGTTACTAGTCAGGAAAACGACAAGTGGATGGCAGCCATGGTTGAGGAGATGGAGTTTTTGAATCACAATCGCACATGGGAGTTAGTTCCCCTTCCTGAGGGTAAGAAGCCGATTGGTTGCAAATGGGTGTATAAGAAGAAACCAGCAGTAACAGAAAAAGAGGGGGAGAAGTTCAAGGCTCGTTTGGTAGCGAAGGGTTTTTCACAGCAGAAAGGAGTTGATTATGATGAAATCTTTTCTCCTGTGGTCAGGCACACTTCAATCCGAGCAGTACTTGCATTGGTGGCTAGTTGGGATTTGCATTTAGAGCAGATGGATGTTAAAACTGCTTTTTTGCATGGTGATTTAGAGGAGCAGATCTACATGCGGCAACCTGAAGGTTTCACTCAACCTGGAAACGAGCATTTAGTTTGCAGATTGAAGAAATCTTTGTACGGGTTAAAACAGTCTCCGAGACAGTGGTATAAACGGTTTGACTCCTATATGATCAAGATTGGCTACAACCGATGTGAGTATGATTGTTGTGTCTATGTTAAGAGCCTTGATGATGGTTCTTTTATTTTTCTATTACTGTATGTTGATGATATGTTGATTGCTGCGAAGAACATGGATGATGTTATCGGTTTGAAAACTTTATTGAGTCAGGAATTTGATATGAAAGATTTAGGTGCTGCAAAGAAAATTCTTGGAATGGAAATTTGCAGGGACAGAGACTCAAGGAAACTGCGGCTATCTCAACGGGGTTATGTTGAGAAAATGCTAGAAAGGTTTGCGATGAGCAGCGCGAAACCAGTTAGCACTCCATTGGCGAATCACTTTAAGCTCTCATCAGAACAGTGCCCTAAGACAGATAAGGAAGCTGAAAATATGGCAAAGGTTCCGTATTCTAATGCTGTTGGCTGCTTGATGTATGCGATGGTATGTACTCGTCCTGATTTAGCTCATGCTGTTAGTCAAGTTTGTAAGTACATGTCTAAACCTGGTAAGCAACATTGGGATGCAGTCAAGTGGATCTTTCGGTACTTAAAGGGTACTGTGGGACATGGAATTGTTTTTGGGAGTCAGCGGGATAATCCTTTGGTTGTAGGATATGTGGATTCAGATTATGCAGGTGACTTGGATAATAGAAGATCTACGACAGGGTATGTGTTTACTCTTGGTGGAGGGCCTATTTGTTGGAAGTCTACTGTTCAATCTGTCGTGGCACTATCTACAACTGAAGCTGAATACATGGCAGCGGCTGAAGCTGCAAAAGAAGCTTTATGGCTTACTGGTTTAGTGAAGGAGTTGAGTGTTCAACAAGGTGGAGTTCAGTTGCTTTGTGATAATCAAAGTGCTATTCACTTGGCTAAGAATCAGGTGTATCGTGCTAGAACTAAACATATTGATGTAAGGTTCCACAAGATCAGAGAGTTGGTTGCATCTGGAGAGGTTTTGTTTCAGAAGGTACATACTGATGAGAATGCCGCTGATATGTTCACCAAGCCAGTTACGACAGACAAGTTCAAGCATTGCTTGGACTTGTTGAATGTTTCGAGTTGTTAAAGAAGCAAGGTAACCCAACCCACATTGAAGTTTCCAAGGGGCAGGATATTCACCAAGGTGGAGATTTGTTAGGTATGGCTCATAAATATACCAGTAAAGAGGACAGGAGATGGAGCGGAGTGAGCGAAGCGAACATCAACTGTCCTTACAAATAAAGTCTCGTTGTGGGGTTACAAATTATGTGGGTTGGGGGTGCGGGGGCGTAGCCCCCGCGGTACGGTACAGGGTTGATTTTGTAATTATGTACTAGGGTTTTCTATTATAAATAGAGATGTAACCTAGACCTAAAATATCATTGAATAAAATTCTAGCGCCGCCTAGGCACCGAGGACGTAAGCACATTGCCGAACCTCGTAAAATTCTCGTGTTCTTTCGTTTTCTTTACCCGTTTTCGTCAACCATTCATTTAACTAATGAGGTCGTTTGGTTGAAAGTTAGATATGTAACCTTATGTGCGAATTAGGTTGTCCCCGATTTTTATGAAGTACAAGATACTCATTGAATGTTAAGACTCCAGTCAATATTTTTCCAACTCCAGGATGACTTCATAAAGTCTTTCATATGCTGAAAATTACAATGCGTATGAAGTATACACAAAAAATGAAAGTTGTCGGATCCT